ACACAGACACACATTTGCATTTATTTAGTTACCCTGGTAGTTAATATAAATATTTGCATTACTTCATATATAATAAAACAAGTGTCATATAGACCACTTTCCCGAAAATGTGCTGTTTCGCATGCAGGCACATGCTGAATATGGGGTGTAACATAAACATGCACACGTGATATTGATGTCACAAAAATAAAATTCCCTTGTATCAAATATCAGTAAATTGTCATGTTTGTACTACTTCCGGGAAAGTTGTCTATTCACCTGTGAGGCCAATGTTTGGTAATTTGTTCAACACCATTGACCAGTGAGGGCAGTATTTATCCAAAGTGCTCAACAATGGCGGCAGAAATAAAATGCTGAGGAACATTCCATTGAATACCCATTTAATTAATGTGCATGATGAGAGATTAACATCCATATTTACTTCATTCTTTTGCATGCAGATATTCTGACATCATAGTTCATAGATTATTGGCTGTTGCCATCAAAGCTGACCAGTCTTATGCAGATCTATTAGATAAACATAAAACACAGGTATAGCAAAGATTTTTACTTTATGTTACCTGTAAATGTAATTTTCTGTGTTATACTTGCTTTTATTTAATTTTGAACTATATTTGTAATAAATTCTCATGATTTACATTCAGTATTTTGCATTGTTAGTATGTTTAGTTGAGAATAGTGTACATACAACAATATAAATAAAATTCTTATCACTTATTTCAATGTTGTTCTTTATATTTCATAGTCTGTCTGTAACAACCTAAATTATCGTCATAAAATGGCCCAGTATGCAGGAAGAGCGTCAGTGGGACTACACACACAGGTTTGTAACAAATTTCAAATTTTTTTCCTGTGCCAGGTGACATTTCTTGACATTCAAGTCACTGTTGTCTCCTCTGACCTTTTAAAAATTGAGCCCATGTTTGTTTGCCCATGAAAAGGTCATAAAAGTGATACACTGTTATGTATATAGGGTTACAAAAAGAAAATCTTTTTCAATGATGCATATACATTAATGGTACGGTAATTTCTTTCAATTCAAAGAGATGCAATTCATCAAAACTATGTTCAGAAACGATCAAAATCATCACAAATGAAATTCACCTTTACTTCCGTGTAATAGACTGACCTGAGCATTTGACCTTTAGATATCACACAATTTGGCTACATGTATAGGCATGATTTTCAAACCTAATTGGATTCTCTGCACGTCTTTTTAAGCAAATCAATTAGTAAAAAGGAAGTAAAGGAAACTGTCAACTCCAAGCCATATGTGACCTATTTTTTAAATGGAACTCCTACTGCCCATAATGTGCAGTGTAGACAAGTTTTTGATTTAAAATTCACACATCAAAAAACATAATCACTATTTACTTGGTTTAGTTTGTGTGTGATGTAACTTATGAATATCAAATGTTCAAAACCAAATTTGAATCCCAAAAGATATGTAGGTTAATGATGATGTTATATAGAACAGAATTTTATGTCGTCATTTGTTTAACATTCTAATGTTTTTTCGGTAGCTTTTCTTCAAAGACAAGACTGTGGATGAAGTTGGATTTGTATTTTTCGTCAGAAAGAATGCACTGCAGATACTGATCCCAAAATTTGGGTTGGAAGGAACCTTATTCTTGAAAAACATTAAAGGAGATTCTCCATTTGTATTTAATGAAGAGGTAAATTTGCAAAAGATGCTTTTGTTTTATGTGCTTAGGTATATTGGTGTTCATGACTCAATATTCCAACTGCTTATCAGTTTACATCATACACAATCAATGTATAGTACATATATAGGAATTCTTCCAAAGTTATGCTGAACGCATGAGATTACATATATCTGGGGTTTATTTATGTTCCAGGATAACTCACAGACTGCTGGGCCTTTGAAGTTCAAAGTGTTCGACCGTGTTGTGGTGCAGATTAGTATTGACAGGTCAAATGTTCAACATCAGAAACTACAACTGAAACTGGTGCATCCAAAGGTCAGTGACATGCTCATTGCCGAGACTGATTACATTCAAACTTTACACATATATCATACATAATATTATACATATGCATATCAATTTGTTTCATGATCTGATTCAAACTGTGGCCATTTTGGGCTAAAAAATCATCAAAAATCAAGCATTTCTGGCATTCCAAAACCAGATCTTGATAGTTTATAGATGGATTTTGTTCAAACTTAGTACATACATTAGACATTATAGGTCCCTGATGCAGGTCATTTTGTTTTTCACTGTCAGATACAAGATGACTGAATTTCAATCATTTTAATGTTAAAAATCATAATTGAGAAATAGATTCTGGATCCATATCTCTGACATGTTTATGTTCCAACTATCGGTATATTACTTTAAACAAAACTATATATCTTAAGTTTGATAACTAATGCCATACGAGGCTTGTCTGTCACCCCTGTAGTTTTATTTTGTTTGACTTTTTAAGCTTACACACACTCCTATCTCATTGCTGTACTTGGTCTTTGCTTTCATGAAATCAACATTGCTAGTTCAACAGTTCATTTATTAAGATTTGCTTATTGCAAAAAAAAAAGATCTGTTTGTGGTCCAGTTTCTGAAAAAAAAATGATGTCTTGTACTTTCACTTTTATTGTCTATCAACTACAAATTACGTTCTGCCTATTACATTATTAACTTTTTTATTATTTCTTTGTAGGTTCCCAATTTTAGTGTTGCACCTCTCAAGGATGATGAACCACCATCAAAGAAAAGTAAACAATCATAAACTGGAAATGTTAAAAACTATATTTGCTCTGAGAGCACCTTATTTCAAGGTCATACTTTCTAGAAATTTCTTTGGCTAATAGGTGATTTCCCGTTCAACTGCGAGATCTAGATTATTGCATTGCAGTAGACTAAATGTCTGCCACAAAAATTGAATTATTTGATTCTGAACTTGAACTTCTTTTCAATAGTTCAATGTGGAAATGCTGAATATAGTGTTGAGATGACCATCATCAAGTGTGTATAGCACATTATTAAATGTGGAAATACCCCTCAAAAATAGTTTTCGCATTTGTTGGAACACACGCAATGTTTGATGCCACTACGGTTTTTGTTTGTCCTGTTTTCGCAATCAATTTCACATATAACACGGGTTTTGCATCAACCGGAAAATGGTCTATTGAAATTATGCAGAAAAAGCATTCAACATGTATTTTGTTCTCAAGTCAAAGATACCTTATATCACACATGTCAACCCCCTTGGCTACTGTATTGTTTGCCAGTGTTTTTAATAAACTGTTGCTGTATTCTTATGTATTGACACTAATGCTGTGTACATGTATATGTTTTACCCGATACCCACTATTGTTTGGGCAAATACAAGTAGTAACACCTATGATAATTTACTACTCATTTAAACAACAAATAATAACAGAATTTGCCATATTGTAAATAGGCATATTTGCACTCGTTTCAAAATATATTTGAATTTCCCTGTATATAGGATATGTCACTAACACTGACACTTTTCATGTTAATGACACTAACTATAGTACGACTGAAACAGAATCCAATCGCTGACACAAATTTTTCGATGCCATTTTGGGCTAAAATTATTGCTACAAGCAGGAAAAAGATCAATAATACCACACTCAGATGGTACTCAGTTGCATATTGACCTCCCCATGTGTCTTTCTATAAGAACCCGTTGAGTCTGCCTTTGTGCATTATTCTTGGTATACAATGGACTAGTCTGTGAAGTCATCAATCTAATTACATGAAACACCACTAGCAATAAACGTATGTAGCTGTTTTTATGCACCCCACTGTAGATTAGAAGTTCAGAGATATAATGCAACTGTTGAAAGCCTTTACTGATTATTGCTGTTGGTGGCATGCTTGAGGACATACACCTCAATTTTTTTAAAAATACACTTAATTATTCATAATTTTCCATTCCAGTTATTAAAAAAAAAAAGAAGCTCATACTGGAGAATCGGGTCTAGTTGTGTGTAAGAGCCGAGCCAGTGGAATTGGAAGGCACTTCCCACAGAACACACAATGACTTCAGCAAAGTAATTCAGTAGAATGTTCCAAATAAAGTGCAGAAAACAAAGCAAAATAAACGTTTTAGTCTTTCTACTTTTTATGGTTTTATCTAAATCTTTAATTGCAAAATGATATGCACTTGACAATGTGTTAGAAGTACAATAATCAAATAAAATAAATCATTGATAGCTTGAAAGTATTGAAACATCTGGAGATAAAATTACAATTTGGTAATGCAGCTTTAAATTCAACAATTCAATTTATTGATTGGAAAGAAAGAGAACTTCCACAAATGCATTTACAAGAAAATGCTTTTAATCTTCTTAGCAGCAACTCTTGTAACCAGATTTTTTAACTCATTGGAAATACAGATCAGATAATGGAAAACCAGCAGTGCATCATCTAGTATTCTGGAGATCACTTCTTTTCTTTAGCAATGGCTGGAACAAATAAAATTGAACTGAATTTACAAGTGACACAAATCAACAAAATGTAAATTCTTATTGAAGCTCAGAAACAAATTATAATTTTGGTGAAATTAAAAGTACATACATTTGTAACTAGCACTACAATTTAAAGTATACATAAAGTAATGTACTCACTATCCTTTGATGGTAAAGTATTCTTTTCCACTGTCTCTGTTGGCTTTAGATTCTTTTTGTCAAATTTGGTGACTTCTGATAAATCATTTTTATCTCCCATGGTTTCAGTATTTGTTGCGTTGAAGCTAATTGCGAAGAATAGAAAATTGAATGAGACATTGTTTATGACAATACGATTCTAACCATAAATTATTCACAAGTCTAATGCAATAAGCAGTAGAATTATTTTTTAACTTGGCACAATTTATTTTGGAAAGCTTTATAAACAGTGAGTTGAGAACTAGATAATTTGTATAACTATCTTACTGTACTTTGTGTTGGGCGGCCTATACTCAACAGTGTAACACAATTACCCCTATATATGTGCATCATACATTAAATCGGTTGCTAGGATTAGTCTTTTTTACCGGCTCTTCGACCGGCGTTCCCCCCCCCCCCCCCCGAGGATATGATTACCTGGAAACAGAAGGGGTTCTGAAATTCATCTTTAAATGACGTCTCTTATAGAATGAAAATGCTGGACGTTGCAGCCAACGTTTGTATTTCATAGATAAGAAATTGTTTATGTATAAACTATTAGGGAGAACTTACAACAAAATGTAATACATTTCTATGAGTAGCTAGAAGTTCGAACCGCCGTTGTACAATCGAGCGAGCTGCAGTCGATTCGTCTGCTAAAAAAAAGCGCGCGCTAGTGTATGGAGCACGACGGTGGGCACTAAAGAAAATCTGAAAACTCGTATGTGAAAAACGTATGTGAATTCTACTTTCACATTCAGCAACAAAATTTGAAACAGAACAGAACTGATTCATGTCTAGCAAAAATATTTTGAATTGAAAAAAACGGGAACAATATCAAACATTAAAGCAGCAACGTTTGTGTCGTACACATACTTTAAACATTAATAAATATACTTACATTTTTTTGAAAACTAACCAAAAATGGTAAATATTGTATTGAGATGCAAGTGTACACTATATTTATACCTCTTCGGAAATAAATTTTGAACTGACGTTGGTGTGAACACGAGCGCGCGCGGTCGAGAATAGGCATCATACCATATTTGGTACGTCTTGTCACTGATAGCCAATCATGAGGAGATATGTAAATGAGCTGAAATCTCGCGGTGGTCAGCGGGCCATTCTTCTTCCCAGAGATCCCTACGACCAGAACTATTTCCCTGTCTGATT